AGAGAGAGAGTGTGTGTGTGTGTGTGTGTGTGTGGTGTGATCACCCAGGGCCTGGGAGACATGAGGAGTCTGGAGTGCAGGGCTTTAAAGACTTGGAAAGACATACCAACCTACAGAATCAGGACACACATATGGTGTCCACCCTTCCTATGAAATGCAGACATAGCCCTAGCTGGTTTGGCTCAGTGGGTAGACACCACCCTAGCTGGTCCGGCTTCAGGCCTGCAGACTGAAGGGTCCTGGGTTCGATTCTGGTCAAGGGCACATGCCCAGGTTGTGGGCTTGATCCTCAGTGTGGGGTGTGCAGGAGGCAGCTAATCAATGATTCTCTCTCATCATTGATGTTGCTATTTCTCTCGCCCTCTCCCTTGCTCTCTGATATCAATAAAAATAGGTTTTTTAAAAACGCAGACACAGAGGCAGGCATAGTTTGAGGTGACAGAGCTGAGGGGTCAGGGTGCTCCGTCCACAGGACCTGCAGTTCTTGAGGGCAAGTGCAGGAGAGGGAGGGGGGACATCAGAGCCTCAACACCCCTCCACCCCCACTGTCCCCACCACGCATGCAATTTCCCATGTCAGGCTCAGACACATGCTCACCCATTGGTCATCTGTGTGGTTATAAACATGTGCACATAGAGGTGCCCTCTCCTTGCCACAGTCATGGCAAGAGTACCAGCAGCAGGTGTCAGCATGGATGTGGTCACAGTCACACACCACGAACACACGGCCACACAAGTGCCGTACAGACATGCGTGCAGTGGCCGCAGCCGCCTAGTCTATGCTCGGTCTCACACACGCACACCCCCTGCTCGTTCACACTCCCACCTTGACCAGTTTGAAGAACGTCTCGTAGATGAAGATGAGGGAGATGAGGAAGGAGAAGATCTCCTGGGTGTAGCGGGAGATGAAGCGGACCAGGAAGCTGCCCTCGAAGGCCACCACCAGCACCACCAGCAGGATGAGCCACATGCCGATCCACACACGACCCACGAGGTACTCCAGGCCGTTGCTGTCGCAGAACTGCGGGGCGGTCAGAGGGAACTGGGGTCAGACAAGCGGGCCCAGCACCGTGCACCGGGCAGGGCGCCAGAGGCAGGCACAGGGTCACGGGGGCCGGGACAGGGCTACCGAGAAGAAGGCTTCCTCGAACACGAGCAGGGGCCCTGAGAAGCCAACCACCAGCAAGGGCTGAGCCGCCAGCAGCGCGAAGAGGATGCCCTGCGCCGCCGTGGAGATGAGCAGCTCCGACACCCCCATCTGGTTCTGGGTCTTCTCTCCTGTGGGCAGAAGGTGCGGTGGGGTCAAGAGCGGGAGACCATTTCCAGGGGCCAGTGGAGCAGTTCGCGGGCAGGCTGATGCAGGGTCCAGAGGGTCAGATCGGGGCAGGAGTCAGGCCAGGGCATCAGAAGAAAGGGTTGGGGGGGAGGGGAGGGCATGCAGAGGAACTGACCCAGGAGGCCGCCAAAGGTGACGGCAGGTGACAGGGCGGCAAAGTAGATGAAGATGACGGCAGCCAGGACCTGGGGGCTGAGTGCATCCGTGATGTCACTCAAGTAGCGAGGGTAGCGGCGCTTTATGTCACGCACCAGGCCCCCGAAGAGCATGCCTGTTCGTTGCAGAGGGTCATCCGGGCCACCAGGGACCCCTGGACCCCCATTTAAATCTGTAATAAAGAATAGGACCATGGTCATAGGGGGCAGCAGGGGGAGGTGTGCGGACAGGGGAGGGGAGGGGGGTATTGTCTGATGGGAATGGGGTAGCCAAAGGAGGCTGGGTGGCAAGAGAGTAGGGAGAAGGGACACCAGGGTGTTTGATGGGAAGAGGGGAGGTAGGGGCTCACAGGGCTGTGCTGGGGTCTCTGAGGGTCTGTGGGGCCCAGAGAGCCTGGGGCTGGGCAGGGCAGGTACCTAGGCCTTTGTAGAATCTGGGGTCTGGCCTGGCAGAGCTGGGCAGGTAGCGTCTTCGCAGTAGCTCCTTCTGCACAGGCACCAGACTGAGCAGGGCCTGCTCTGAGGGGGCGTCCGTGGGAGGCAGCACCAGGCTGCAGTCCAGGAAGCCCTCCAGGGAGTGCACCAGCTCTTGCCGGCTCTGGGCCAGGTACGCATCCATGCGGAACACCTGGGGGCCAGAGAGCGGGTCAGGGCCGCCTGGCTCTGCTGGGTGAAAGGGCCCAGGAGTCCACAGCCAGGGCCCCCGAGGACAGAACCCTCTCTCCCAGCTCCTTCTTGCTAGGAACTGCTTTTTTTTTTCTTTTTTTAAATATATATTTTATTGGTTTTTTACAGAGACGAAGGGAGAGGGATAGAGAGTTAGAAACATCCATGAGAGAGAAACATCGATCAGCTGCCTCCCGCACACTCCCTACTGGGGATGTGCCCACCACCAAGGTACATGCCCTTGACCGGAACCGAACCTGGGACCTTTTGTCCGCAGGCTGACGCTCTATCCACTGAGCCAAACCAGTTAGGGCGGAACTGCTTTCTTGCCCACCTCCTTTACCAGCCCCCACTGACCACCCCCACCCCAACACACACACACACACACACTGTGAAAGGGTTGGGGGGACGCAGACCTGGTCCTAAATGAAGAAAGGAGAGAGAACTAAGCAAACCAGGTGAAGCCAGAGCAGACGAGGCCATTCCAGGCCAGGCTTGACCAGGGAGAACCAGGCCAGAGTGGGCCAGATCGGGTCATGCCAGGCCAGTCCGGCAGGGCCGGGCCAGGTCACTCTGCCCAGACACGCCAGCAACAGCTGGATTAGACTGGAGGGGCCAGACTAGTGACGCTAAAGTGACCCCGGCCAGTCCAGTGGAGAATGGGCCTCAACCGCCACCCAGCTGCCCAGCTCCCCCAGCCCTCGCCGGCCCCTCCTTACTCTCTCAGACATGAGGATAGCAGCCGCCCGGCCGAGCTGGGTGTAGTCGATGTGAGAGGCCTCGGGTCCCAGCAGCACAAGGAGGAAGCGCACGGGCACGTGCAGCTGCACCGCGTCCACCAGCTCCACGGCCTCCTGCAGCCGCACGAAGCCCAGCACGGGCCGCTCCAGGAAGGAGGCACGGCCTGTGGGAGGGGGTGGGGGGCATGAGGTGGCCTGGCCAAGCCTGGGGGGCACCGCTGGCGTCCAGGCTTAGGGAGAGGCAGGCTGGAAGCAGGGGTGTGGAGGGTTGAGTAGGGAGGAGCACCACTGCTTACCCACTAGCACCAGGGTGGCCTCGGAATCCGGGGGGATCTTTTCCAAAATTCCCGATGGGGAGTGGCCTGCTGTGCCCCCCTCTCTCTGTTGGAAGGAAGGTGGTAAGGAGAGCATCCAGCCCCCTCCTCCCCTCGCTACTCCCATTTCTCACCACGCTGCCGGCTCTCCCCGGGCACCCCTGGTACAGCCTCACCTGTTCACAGAATAGCTGAATCTCCAGCGAGGGGTGTTGGGGGAGCAGAGGCTGTGAGGGCTCCCCGGAACGTGTCACAACTGTGGGCTTCACACCCCCCAGGTCCTCTAGGTCTCCAGCATGGCTGCAGGACACAAAGGGGACATGGGCTGAGGAAGCTGCTCCGGGTGGGTTTGGTTGGGCTCTCCGCAGAGCACTGGTGATGGGAGGGATCAACTGGGACTCCCAGTGGCCAGACCAGAGAGACCCTGGGGCAGGAGAACCGGCCCCTTTTGAAGGGTGTGCGCTGTAAGCCGGTGGCCGCTTTCTGGAATGACTAGGTGGAGCCAGAAGAATGGATGGAGGGAAGGGCCTTGAGAGTCTGCCCTCCTGGGGACCAGTGGTCCCCACATCTGAGCATGGAGACATGGCCCCCTGTCAAGAGCTGTCAGAGGCAGGAGCCATCCTGGAAGAAAAGTGGGGGTGGGGTGGGCTTTGGATTCCCAGGGAGAGCCGGGGCAGGTGGGCTGGGGAGGCCGCTCTGGGGAGTGCAGTCCAGGTGTGGGCAGGCAGGAGCACCTGTGTTTGAGCAGCAGGACCCGGAGCAGCTCGTCTCGGTCCTGAGGCCGGATCTGCTCCTCGTAGATGAACTGGTCCAGCAGCTGGTTGGCCACCCCAGCCAGGGAGGTCTCCGGCAGATTCAGGAGGACAGTCCCTGCAGGGAAGGGAGGGTGAGCTGGCCAGCTGAACCGTGGCCCTCCTCCCCACCAAGCCTCGCATGCAGGGGTCACGGAGGGGCCGTCAGGGCTCACCCTTGGTGAAGGCTCTCTGCAGCTCCAGGAGGCTCCAGAAGGTGAGGTAGGACAGGTGCGGGCGGCCCCAGGCCCCATCCGCCCCCAGGTTCTCCTCCAGCCGCACCCAGCGCGCGGCCTCCATCCATTGCAGCTCCTGGTTCTTCTCGTCCATCACGAGTTCGTGCAGCTCCACGTAGACCTGTGGCCCCACAGACCTGAATTAGCCCATCAGGCTCCTGGCCGTGGGGAGGTGGCAGCCCGGGGCAGGCGGACAGCGGCAGGAGGCCCAGAGCCCTGAGGCGTTTGGGGGCAGACCCTGAGCTCAGAGGGACGTCAGTGGGGAACTCCCGCTGGAGTGTGAGTGAGACGGGAAGTGTGGGGAGATGCTTGAGGGTCCTGTGGGTACGGCCCACACGCTGGCTCTATTCCTCAGCTTCCTAACCGGCCCCGGACTTCATTTCAGAGGCATTTGGAGAACCTCGGGACCAAAAGGGGTGCTAGAGTGGCCACTTAGAAGGGAAAGGACGGGGAGTCCTGGGTCATTGGGTCATCCCCCTCCTTAAAGATGGTGGAGTGGGTGTGCTGCTGGGCTTGTTCTTGGGTGTCTTTGGGGCCAGGTGGCCACTCTTGAGGGCCTAGCTGAGGACAGAACACATTTATTAGCCGGCTAGACAGCCTGGGACCAACAGGGATGTAGGGGGCCCGGCAGAGGAGAGCGTTACCCACTTCTGTGCTTCCCCAGGGAGCACCTGACGGCGCAGCCAGGGCCGCAGGGGCGACGGGGGCCAGGGACTATTCTCTTTCCTTCCACCAATTTCCCAGGACCCGTCCCCCCAGCCTGTCTGTGGCCTGTTTGGAGCTGTGCCTGTCCCTCCGTTCCTCCCTTCCCGTGATATGATGGTAGGCCCCAGGGCAGTACAGGAAAAAGGGCTGGGGGAGGCTGGGGTCCTTACCTCGTGGGTGCCCGGTTGGGAAGTGGTTTGGTGGTAGTCTGTGGCTGTTGGCTCGGTGAAGAGAGCTGAAAACCCGGAGGCTGGTTAGTGCTACCACCAGATGATCCTGCGCCACCCGCCATCAGCCCCAGAAACCAGGGCAGGATGCTGTCCCGCTGGTGCCCCCACCCACCCCTGGGCTCCCCACGCCTGGTTCTTGGCCCCGCCTGGCTCTGCCACCCCACATGGGAGCACCCTGGAGGCCCCTGGGACTCATCCTCAGTGAGGGGCAGGAGGGTGATCTCCAAGGCGATTGGAGACACCTGAATATCGATGTTCAGGATTCTCTTAGGGGCTCCTCGCCCTCATGCCACCTTCTGGGTTCAATTCCCTTCCTTCTCACCTGCCTCAGGAATCCTGCCAGTCCATAGCTTCTCCCCGCTTCCAAGCGGAGCTCTGGGCACCTTTATATTGCCCCCTCGCTGCCCCCCCCCCACCCCAGCCCTCCATTCCCAGGGGCACCTCTTATCATCAATGCTAATTGCCTGCACTTAAGTCCTGTTGACAGTAAATAAGCACCTGCCTGGGGCTCCCCACTTAGACCTTGAGCGACCAAGGAAGGGTTCCTGTTGTCCCTCTGCCTTGGGGGTCCCCAAGGCCCCCCATTTTTCAGGACCCCTGGACCCCCAAATGGAACAATGTTTCCAGAGCAGGGCCAGCGCCTGGCCTAGAAGCCAGTGTTGGATGGGCATGGGTGGCAAGTGGGCTCCTGCCATGGTGCCAGGCAGGCCTGGCTGCCCTCTCACACATCTAAGGGACACTCGATGGTGACGGGTGACTGGTCCTGCCCACCCCCCCAGTCCCCTCCTGTGATCATTTCAAACAAAACTCTGTTTATCCTTCAATCAGTAGGATTGTGGGAGAACTGGCCCTGGGGCTGGGACAGGGCAGGGGGGGAGTGGGGGAGTTCAGAGAAGAAGGGAGGACAAGTCCCTCAAATGTCCCTGTCTGGGGTCAGCACCTCACCCAGCAGAGAGAGGGAGATGGGCTTACCTTCTGGCTCCTCCACCTGGGGTACGGGGACACCTGGATCTTCATACTCCTCCTGCTCTAGGATCTCTTCCAGCCCCTCTTCGTACTCCTCCTGTGGGAAGTGGCCATTAGGACTGGGTGTGAGGGGCTTCTTGAGGCCCCATGAAGGTGGGAATGCAGGGCCAGGACCCCAGAGGCCCCAGGTAGGAGCCCTGCAGATGCCGAGAAAGACTCACCTGAAAATCCCCCATGGCGCTGTCCCGATGGTCCGATTATCCGCAGGGATCGTAGCCCCCAGCATAACCCGCACTGCGGGTCCCTGCAGGGAGAGGCACAAGCCGGTGAGACATGGGGACCCTGTGGTCTCCTTGTCCTGCTCCAGAGCGGCTGCATTTGAGTGGACGGTGTGGGGAGACAGGGGTCAGAGGGAAAAGGGGGTGGAGGCTTGGAGGAAGGAGCTGGATTTACAGATGTGAGGGCCAGTGTGCGGGGCCAGGAGAGGGGGTGCCGTGCAGGGAGGGGAAGCCTGGCTGGGAAGGGTGTTGGGGAGGATGGGTACATCCCGCGAATCTGACTCCTTTCTCCATTCACCAGTCCTCAGCTGGCTTATTTTCTTGCCCATCTCTGAGACGCAACCAACCCCAGGATGGCATGACCTCTCCCCGACTTAGCTCCTCCGAGAGGCTCCGCAGCACACGCTCTTACCCATGCTTTGCGCTGGGCTTGGGGCCGCAGCATCCTTGGGAGTGGCCCGCAGGTCCTGGAGGAGGTGGCCCTGCTTCTCTCTCCCACCTCATCCAGACTCGGCCTCTTTTTATCTCTCCCCGCGTATCCCCTGGGCCTCCTTACCAAGCCCTTATCTGCCCCAGGGCCTTTACATGTGCAGCTGCCCACATCCTGGAGGCCCTCCCCCAACCCCTCAGCCCTTCTCACAGCTCAGCTCAAATGTCACCGCTTCAGATTCCTTCCCCGACCACCCTGACGTGCACGAACTACATGTGTCATTTTCTGGTTTCTGGATTCATCTGTGCACATATTGTCTGAGGATCCCTCTAGAAGGGAAGGCACAGGAGGGCAAAGACTCTGCATGTCTCAGTCCCCACTGAATCCCCGCTCCTAGCAGAACGGTTACTCACAGTAATCATTCAAAATGCATGTAGAACGAGTGTAAGAATGTGTCCCGCTTGTAGGCATGGGGCTCTGGGACCGGGTATTAGTATGACTAGGACCCAGCCGGGAGGCCACTGAGTCCTGCGCCTCCATTTCCCGGCTGTGTCTCTGGCAGAGAGGAAGGCATGCCCACCCCAGGAACATGAGGACAAGTCCAAGCGGGGGTGGGTGGTGGTGGGGGGGGTGACGGAGGTTCCCTAGGGTGGCCCCAGGCTGGGTATGGAGAGACTTCCTTTGCCCCCTCACCCACTGCAGCACAGGGCATTGTGGAGAGAGATCGGGCCAGGCTGGCAAATGTGCCCACTCTGCGCCTGCGGGGTGCTGATGAGCGGATGCCGAGATGAACAACGCACTGTCCCTACTCTCAGGAGGCTCCCGCCCTGACTGGGGAGACCAGCCGGGAGTACGTGACCGGCGCAGTGGTTCAGGAGATAACATGTCCCTCAGACAAACAAGCTATGAGCGGAATGTGCTGGGTGCCAAGGGTCTGTACAGCAGGATCGGTTGGTGGGGTTGGGGGTGGAATGTCTCTGGGGGAGGAGACACTGGTGCTGGGCCTAGAGCAGTGGTTCTCAACTTCTGGCCCTTTAAATACAGTTCCTCAGGTTGTGGTGACCCAACCATAAAATTATGTTCGTTGCTACTTCATAACTGTAATGCTGCTACTGTTATGAATCGTCATGTACATATCTGATATGCAGGATGGTCTTAGGCGACCCCTGTGAAAGGGTCGTTCGACTGCCAAAGGGGTCGCGACCCACAGGTTGAGAACCGCTGGCCTAGAAGCACCGGGAGGATTTGAAAGACTGAGAGGTGGAGAGGGATGGCCCAGGTGTGAGAAATGGTAGGCAAAGGGTCGAGCTAGGACCATGCAAGGCAGGGAGTGTACACAGAAGGAACTGCACAAAGAACTTTCTCTCTGAGGAGTGGGTGGCTCTGCAGGCCTTCGAGATAGGGAGGAAGGAGGGGTCCCTGGTTTGGGGTGGTAAGGGGGCAAGGATGGCCATGGGGGTGTCCCAGAGCCTGGGATGGGACCATCCCGACTGCACAGGACATGCCCCTTGAAGATCCTGATCACATATCTTTTCTCTCTCTCCCTGTCCCTCCCTGTCCCCTTCTCCCCACGTTTCTCTACCTGCCTCTTGTCTCATCGTTATTCTATTTCTTTTTCTTTTTTTAAATATATTTTATTGATTTTTACAGAGAGAAAGGGACAGGGGTAGAGAGTTAGAAACATCGATCAGCTGCCTCCTGCACACCGCCTACTGGGGATGTGCCCGCAACCAAGGTACATGCCCTTGACCGGAATCGAACCTGCGACTCTTCAGGCCGCAGGCCGACGCTCTATCCACTGAGCCAAGCCAGTGAGGACAATTCTCTTTCTTTCTTTTTTTTTTTTAATATATTTTATTCAATTCTCTTTCTTATTCCTTCTCTGGCCTTGCATCTGCCTCAGCCTCAGATCCCTAGAATTCTCAATGTGTTAAAAATCCCACCCATAGCCGAAACCGGTTTGGCTCAGTGGATAGAGCGTCGGCCTGCGGACTGAAGGGTCCCAGGTTCGATTCCGGTCAAGGGCATGTACCTGGGTTGCGGGCATGTCCCCAGTAGGAGATGTGCCGGAGGCAGCTGATCGATGTTTCTCTCTCATCGATGTTTCTGCCTCTCTCTCTCTCTCCCTTGCTCTCTCTAAAAAATCAATAAAATATATTAAAAAAAAAAAAATCCCACCCATGGCCCTCCAGCTCTGCCTGTTTCCCATCTGAGAGGTGGAGTGGTCAGAGGGACCCTCCAGGACCAGAGAATCCAGAAACTCAGGCTGCCTCTGCCACTGGCCGGCCGCACGGACTTGGGCAGTTCCCAGCTTCTCTCTAGGCCAGCAGTTCTCAAGGCAGGGGTTCTCAACCTGTGGGTCGCGACCCCTTTTGGCAGCGGTTCTCAACCTGTGGGTCGAGACCCCTTGGGCAGGGGTTCTCAACCTGGGGAACGACCCTTTCACAGGGGTCGCCTAAGAGGTCGCGGCATGAGGAAGGTTGAGAACCACTGCTCTAGGTCTTGGTCATTCTGCTATATAATAGGGGGCCTTCCCCCCACCCCCCCGGGGTAAGCGAGAAGAGGGAGAAGAGGTGCTCCCAGGGCCTTAGAGGGTGCACCCATAAGCCAGATTGCTGCCACCACCAGGCCCAGCCACCTTCCAGCTGCAGGCCTTGCTCTGTCTCACACTGATAAGAAGCTGGCCGCTGATCGCTGCCCTGCATCTGGAAGCGTACCAAACACCTGGCCGGCCAGCCCGCCCGGGTGAGGCCAGATAAGGTGAGTGGGGCATCTGGAGCCAGGAGGTGGGGCACACACAGCTGGAAGAGGCTTAGGGGGGCAGGCGGTGACCAGATGACAGGCAGGGCTCCCTGGTGGCGTAGCACCACCTTTGCGTAATCGCCCCAGCATTGCACCAAGCCGTACCGTATGCCTTACTGCTTACATTCCCAAACCGCTCTGTGAGGTGGGTAGTGTCACTGGCCGTTTTACAGATGAGAAAGCTGAGGTCAGACAGCTTTACCCGCTTCGGTCCCCTGGCAGGTAGGCATCATAGACAGGATTAAACCCTGCCGACCTGACTCTAGCTACATCTCGAACCATTAGACTGAGCTGCCCCCAGGAGAGAAAACAGCTATTAGCTGGTTTAGTGATAGTGATTAAGAGCATGGACGCTGTAGTCAGACTGCCCGGGTTCAAATCCCAGCCCCCCCATTTGCTAACTGTGCGACTTGTGTGACCTCGGGCTTGTGACTCAACCTCTCTGTGCTTCAGTTTTCTCAACTGTAGAATGGGGTAATACATCTACCTCAGCCCGGCCAGTGTGGCTCAGTGGTTGAATGGTAGGTATATTTTTTAAAAACTTTGGAAAAAAAAATATCTACCTCATAGACTTGTTATAGGTTCATGTGTATAAAGCATTTAAAAAAGTGCCTGGTGCATAAGAAGTGCTAGGTCAGGGGTCCTCAACCTTTTAAACAGGGGGCCAGCCAGTTCACTGTCCCTCAGACCGTTGGAGGGCCGGACTATAGTTTAAAAAAAAAACTATGAACAAATTCCTATGCACACTGCACATATCTTATTTTGAAGTAAAAAAACAAAACGGGAACAAATACAATATTCGCATTTGCATGTGGCCCGCGGGCCGTAGTTTGAGGACCCCTGCTCTAGGTGAACGTTTGCCTTCATTATCATTGCTACTGGGTATCAAGATTGGATTCACTACCCTCAGCCCCCTCTAACTCCCCAGTTCCCGTAGAATTAGCCTAAGTGCTTTGAGGTGCTCAGGTGCTAGGGGACCCCTCCTTTCCCTCCAAACACTCCCTAGAGCGGGGACGGTGCCAGGCCCCCCTCGTAGGCTCCCTGAAATGGGGAGAGCTGACAACTTTTCTCCTAAGAGGATGACGAGGTAGCCTAGGAACCCCCATACATGGGGGAAAGAAGGGGTTAGAGTGAGACCTGAGTCTGTGGGATCTGAGGGGCTGGTAAGTAGGAAGCTGCCCGGGACCCACACACACATTTACACACCAGCCACACACACCTGTTGCCACGTGCCAGCCTTTTTCCCAACACCGGCCAGTTTTCTTAACATTGGCTGCCCCGCTCACCCCAGTGGCAGGTGCCAATGGGCCTGTGCCCTTAGGGGTAACAACACACATTGCAATGTTCTCACCCCACCCACCAACACCCCACTTGAAGGTTAGGGCACCTGTGCCCACTTAGGCAAAGATTTAGGATGGGCACCTGCAGAAACCCAAACCATAGGTACCCCAAGACAAACCCTAACCCCCCCTGGCCCTGCTCACCTGCTCACGAGTCTTGGGGTCCCTCCAGGAACTCCTGCAGCCACCGGTACCTTCTGCGCCCAGCTGAGCTCACACCCGCTCTAGCAGCGCCAGGTTCTCGCTCCTTCGCCCCAGGGGCAGCTTGCAAACCCCTGACTCATGCCCCCGCCTCCTAATCTGCCCGCCCATGGGCCACAGGAGCCCCTTCTCACCCCTCCGCCCCACTTCCACTGGGTGCCCTGTAAACAGAGTTATCTCTCACACACATCTGGACAGCTGTGAGCCTGGCCCACCCCACCCGGCCGCCAGCCCCCAACACCTCCCTCCTGGCCCCCCGGGGTTCTCCTGGTCTTCCTCTGTGGACTCCGGTTTGACGGCTGGGTTCTCAGAGCTCCCAGCCTCCTGGCAGGGCTGGCCCAGCCTGTGGACGCCCCTGTCCGGACTCGCTCCATCCTCGGTCTGGCCAGGCCCCTCTGCTCTGGCCCAAGATGCACAGGCGCCTTCTCCTCTCTCCTCCCTCAGCGTCCTCCCTCGGGGACGTGCTCACAGGGCCCAGGCAGCCCCCTCCCCCTCTTGTTCCAAGTGAGGGGGCCCTGGCTGTCGTCTCCCCAAGACCCCGCTTGGCTCCAAGAGCTGGCCCCTGGGTGCTAAGATGCTGCCACGCAGTCAACCTGAAACAATGTCAGGTCAACAAAACAACCTTCCCCACACAGGAGCTCAGAGCTCACAAAGCCCCAATGTCTGGGCACACTGGCTCCTCTGTCGGCAGCCCGGCCCAGAGCAGCCCGCATTCTCGGCCCACGCGGTGCCCCTCCCCACACTCCCCCAGTGGGGCAGTCTCTGCTCCTGGGGGTACTGGGGTTGGCCTCCTAATCCTGGGCTCTGGTTGCTAAAGAGGCAGAGACAGGTGAGTTTAGATCGACAGGAAAGAAGAGGGTTTGAAAGCAGACAGCCAGGGGTTCTGTGGACACTGCTCCGGGCAGTGGAGACAGGAAGCCATCCCAGCCAGCTCTGCCACTGACGGCTCTGGAACCCGGGCAAGTGCCTGCCCCTCTCTGTTCTTTAGTGTCCCCATCCACAAAGTGAAAGTGCTGGTTTGATGACTGCCAGCTTGGGGGATTCTTCATTTTATTTTATTTTTGTTAATCTTCACCAGAGGATATTTTCCCATGGATTTTTAGAGCGAGTGGAAGGGAGGGGGAGAGACAGAGAGAGACAGACAGACATGGATGTGAGAGAGACACTTCGATTGGTTGCCTCCCGCATGTGCCCCGACCAGGGCCTGGGATGGAGCCTGCAATTGAGGCATGTGCCCTTGACTGGAATCGAACCCGGGACCCTTCAGTCTGTGGGCCGACACTATCCACTGAGCTAAACCAGAGGGCGGGATTCTCTGTTTTAGATCCCAAACGTAAAAACAGAGGCAGGGACGATGAGGTGGGCATATCCAGCAGTTCTACAATCATTTCCTGGGTCTCCACTACCGAGCCCTGGCGGGGAGGAAGGAGCAGGGACTGATGAGCTGGAACCCTCCTGTTTATGGGGCTTCCGTTCCAGGCACGGTGCTGGGGGCTTCACCTGGTGGTCACACGTCATCCTTCCAGCACCCCCATTTCACAGAGGACACTAACACCACAGAGGGGTAAGGTGGCTTCCCAGTGACAAAAGTGACTGGTACTAGCTCGGAGTTCTCGGGCGTCTCCAAGAAAGGAGCAGTTTATTATTATTTCCCGCTCACAGGCGAGGGGTAGGTGCAGAGGGGTAGGCGACTCGCCCCAGGCCCCTGGGCTGGTGGAGCCTGAGCTGGAGCTCGCAACTCGGGGCTTCGTCCTGCCTCCTGCGAAGCACTGTGCTCCCTCCAGTCACCCCGGCCAGGAACAGAGAGGCCCTGCCCAAAGGGGCCGAGGGTGCTCCTCCTACTCCGGGTTGGTGCTCCCTCTCTCCGGGCTGGTGGCTCAGACGGGGCTGGGCCGCTTCCTGTGGCCGTTGGCAGCGAACGCCAAGTGGCAGCCCTGCCTTCCCACCAGAGCCCAGAAGGCCCAGGCGCACTGCCCCTCTGCCTGGCCCAGGAGCCGAGGGAGAGCTGGGTGCAGGAGGCAGCAACGAGCACCTCTTCCAGGTCCCAGAAAGGAGGGACAGCTGGCCCTTGGGGGTGGGGGTCGGGGGTGACAAACGGGAACATCTGGATTAGAGCAGAACCTGCCCAGCTGTTCTGCAGGCACCACTCCCGCAGCCCACCGGACGCCAAGCAGAGCAGAGCAGGCTGCCATCTGGTCCTTTCCGCTCACGCCGTGTGTCTGGGTCATTCTTGCTGCCCTGACTGGCCGAGGATGTTTCCCCCAATCTGCCCACAGCACAGGATGCGTGTTTGTGCTTCTCCAGCAAGAGGCCATGGCTTCTCTCACTCATTTCATTCCAGTTTGGGGTTGGGTCAGTCAGTTCATCTGGAGGCCCCAGGTGCCTGGCACAGGGCTGGGCGCTGGAGAAACGAGATGAGAGAGGCTTGCCCCCCCCCTTAGCCATGTCCCTGGGGAGGATGGAGACGGTCAGAAAGCCTGACATGCCAGGGAATTCAGCGGGGACCGACCCTGAGAGCGTGTCCTCATTGGCCCCCCAGGGCCTCACGCTCTGTCATCCCCTTCCCTGAGGGTCCCTCTTGCCACCCTATCCCGTCATTGCCTGAAGCACTAAGCGAGGAGCCTATGGGACCCTCCTCGAGGTCCATGGGTAAGTTGGTCCAAGTCTGTCTCACAGACGTTGGGGAACCCAGGCCAAATGGGATGAGGTAAGCCCAGGGTGGGCCCCCAGGCTGGGCTGCCAGAAACCCACCCCAAACAGTGATTTGGTTGCAGCCACATACGATGATATTCTAGACCCCACAGGGAGGCACTGTGGGCAGGAGCCAATAGGGAGTGAGTTCTCCTGAGGGAGGAGGCTTTCCCATCTTGGATCATCTGGGGTGCGGGCAGCCCTCGGTGCCAAGCGGAGACTTGGCAGTGGGCCTTAGAAGGGGCGGCTGCTTTCTCTCTCTTGGCCTGAAGAAGAGCCGGAGACTCCAGGTGGGAGAGGGGGGTTTCATGGCGATTAGGTGAGCTGTGCCTTGCAATGGGCTTGGCCATGAGGTGTTAGGTGGAGCAGTGTGGGCCTGTGACAGCTGGCTTCACTTGGGCCCCCTAGAGCAGTGGTTCTCAACCTTGGCTGCACATTAGAATCACCTGAGAATCTTTTGAAAATCCTGATTTCTGATTTCTGGGCCTCATCCTCCAGAAATTCTGTTTCTTTGTTATGGGGTGAGGCCACAACATGAGTCACAAAGAAACAGAATTTCTGGAGGATGAAGCCGAGAAATCAGGATTTTAAAAAGATTCCCAGGTGATTCTAATGTGCAGCCTGGGGATCAAGCCCACAACCCGGGCAAATGCCTGACCGGGAATCGAACCTCCAGGTTCATAGGTCGATGCTCAACCGCCGAGCCACACGGGCTGGGCTCAGAGTGACCTTTTAGAAACAGAAGTCAGAAGACATCACTGCCCTGAATAAATCCTCCGTGACTCCCCCACATGTGGAGTGACACCGTCCCCTGTTCTGGGTCACTCCTGCCCCCTGCTCACCTCCCGCCTTCTGCTCCACCAGTGCCATT